TACTACGCGTTCCTCTGCCTTGGCTGGCGCAATTGGGATATGGGTTGCTGTCCTCCTGCTCAGGTGAGGTATGTTTTCTCTCTTCCGTTCTGCTTTTCGGCGCCTGCCATTTTTGGGGGCGGCAAATACGGAAGAGAGAAATAGTACCGGGGCTGTCAACCGAGCGTATTTGCCAGGAATGGTCCCTTGTGGGTGGTGGTGCTTTGGGCGGGAAAATTTGAAATACAATTTACTAGTAATATGTCTAAGCTTAAAGCGAGGTGGAGCCAAAGGAACTGTTGAGGAGAACGGGGTGTGTTACGTTGGCAGAAAGGGGGGGGGGGGGGGGGGGGGGGGGGGGGGGGGGGGGGGGGGGGGGGGGGGGGGGGGGGTGTTGGCTGGGGGAAGCGGTGGGGACCCGTGAGAGGGCGCGGGCTGCTCCTTCGTTCCCTTTTGACTCTGGCTCATCGTGTTGCCATCTGTAGACGAGACGACGAGTCTCTTTTGTCCCCGCCCCTCTTTCCACTTTTTCCTTTGTTTAATATTTGCAGGAGAGGAGTCTTCTTTGTTCCGTTCCATGTTCTATGTGAATTTTTTTTCGTGCAGGGACTTATGCTAGTAAGTATAAAGTTAAAGAAAAGTGTGGGGTTCCTCCTCATTCTCCCGCTCCTTTTTCTTCATCCCCTCTGCAGCGATTGTGCTCTTTCCTTCTGCTGGTACTTTCTGTCCGCAGAGCTCCCCTCTCTGCTCTCTGTTCGTTGTTCGCTCGCTTCTTGTGCTTTTAGTACTTCCCCTCATGGACTTCACTCTCCCCCGCCCTTCAGCTTCGCCTCTCTCTGTCTCTCTCTCCGTTTTTCAGTTCCCCCTCTACAGGTTTCCACTCTCCCCCCCTTTTTCAGTTTCGCCTCTCATGGATTCCACTTCTCTCCCGCCCTTTTTCAGTTTCGCCTCTCCCTCTCTCCCCCCGTTTTTCAGTTTCCGTTCTCATGGTTTCCACGCTCCCCTCAATTTTTCAGTTTCTCCTCTCACGAGTTCCAGTTCTCTCCCGCCCTTTTTCAATTTCACCTCTCATTAATTCCACTCTCTCCCGTCCTTTTTCAGTTTCGCCGCATGGATTTCACTCTCACGCGCCCTTTTTCAGATCCGTATCTCTTAGCCTCGTCCTATCGCTCGTCTTCTATCCTGGTCTTTCCCTTCTGCTCTCCTGGACGACAAAAGTACAGTATAGAGGGCCTCGCTCCACCGCTCAGCACATGCAGAAATGACACGAATTATGGCGGTGTATCCTTCCATGTTTTAGCGGAAGATTCATTCTCATTTTGCACAATTGGTGAGTAGTGAAGCGAGGCCCACAGTATATCCCTTTTTTTCCTGCTTCACCTTCGATCTTCTCCCCGACATGCGCGTATGGAGCTGTGGACGTACCCTCTCTCACCTTAATTCGTCTGGGTTTTGTCGTCTCCTGGCCACAGCTCCCTTCCTCTCCTCCTTCCTGCTGCTCTGTTCCCTCATGCATATTGTTCTGTTTATGTGATGCACCAGGACGTCTATTTGCGCTACCTTCCCCCGAATGGAACGCACGGTTATTATCGCTATATTCGGGGCGACTTTCACTCTAGATACAGCGGTAATGAGCGTGCGTTCTATTCGTGTGAAGATGGTAGTCTAGTATCACTGCCGACGCTTTTCACTCTTGCCACCTGTTCCTTTCGTCGTCCTCCTTTTTCGCACTCTCTCTCTCTCTCTCTTTGCCATTCCCATCTTCCCTTCCCTTCTGCCCCTTCTTCGTCCTCATTGTTCTTCTCGTTTCTGCCTCTCCGGCTTGCTCCCTATCCTCTTCTCTCCTTCTCGTCCTCTCTCGCTTCTTCGACTCCGGCTCTCTCTCATTCCACCTCATTCGCGACTGCCTTTCAAGTGCCTCCGCTCCTCTCGCCCGATTCACACTCCTTCCGTACTCATACAGCTGTATTGGGGGCGACTTTCAGTCTAGATTCGTAGCCCTTCCGCCTCCCGTCTCAAAATCCGCGCGGTCCCTTTTTCCAATCTTCCGGCCTCCGATGAGAACTGGTGAATAGAATTGGATTCGAAGAGGCAATTTTAGAATTCTTCGAAAGAAGAGCACTAATCGTTGGACAGGAGGAGGAGGAAGTCTGCGAAGGGGAAGCGAAGCTTACTGCCTTGCATCTTCCCCTGAATAGAACGCATGGTCATTATGTCAATAGCTCTAGTTTGGGCGACTTTCAGTC